CCCTCCCCCTCCTCAGTGGAAGTGGTCTGTCTGGCTACACACATCACGTCACATCACGCCGACCTTTCTCACTCTCTCATTGAGTCGTTGGTAAAGCTTGAAGTCTGCCAAGTCTGCCCCTTTGAGTGTGTCCGAATTCTCGAATGTGTCGACACTTTGCGATTCGTGTCGACACAAATTTGGTAAGGGGAGGCTCGTATTCCATTTGCGGTACACTTGTCCTGGGAGCCCCGAGATGGCACCTCGGCGAGGCTACCGGGACTGGTATGAGAAGCATGCGACGCAGGCGCGTTCTCCAAATCTATCTTAGCTGAGACACTTGTCCCGCCAAATGCCAGCCCGTCCTCTAGCAACAAATCCCGTTGGCTAAGTTCTAGTTTCGGTGTTAAAATTCAGGATGGCTTCGGACATATGTCCTCTGTGTGATAATAAGTCCAACAAAACGTAAGTTCAATTCTTGCCTCTTTAGCTTATACATGACCATTTCATGGCCATGTTTCCTTTGGTTCAAGTTTCCAAAAAAAACATCATTTATCCAGAAAAATTCTATTCTGTCCCAGGTTTTGGATTTGTTGTGACTCCTGCGATGTGTGGCATCACGGTAGCTGTGTCGGTCTTACCAAAAAAGCAGGTTTGTAACATCTCTTAATTATACTTACCCGGATCAACTGTATTTGATGATATGTATTCTGCCTGTGGCCCTGTCTTGCTCAAGGGACAGTTTCTATACTTATTGATTTTGAGTGAATACATGTAGTGCATTATTTATTATCATTTTTCAGTGGAAAAGCTGAATACGTGGCACTGTAGGAAATGTGTCAGTGAGAAAGCCATGTCCAACAATGCAACGGCACATGAAGCTGCTGTCGTGCCACCCATTAAAACTGCTAATTCAAGCACCTACTTTTTAACTGTTTGTGTTTGCAATAATGATTTAAAGCGTAACACCACCACCTCAAATATCAGGTATGGCAAAATTAATCCTGACTCTATTTATGCGGTGTAACAGTGTCAAATCGTATTTTCTCATTGGTACTGTTTAAAATTTGTCAGAGTTTCTGCTCAATGTGGTGTTTGCCACAATCACTTCCATGTGCACTGCATACGTGTTAAGGCGAGCAATGGTATAAATTAATATTGATCAAATATCTTAAGTATTTAACATATAAAAGAAAAATATTGTAGTACATTTTTTTTATTTTAGGTACTGTGCTCTGTCCAAATTGTAGCTGTCAAAACTATGATGATGTAGATCAAATTCAAGAAACTGCCGTTGACACTCATGAAACCACTAACATATCAACAGTTGCTCTTCCAACTCAAGCAGTTGCAACGACTTTATTATCTTCTGCTCTTCCTACTCAACTTGGGTCTGAAGAAATAATTGTGTCAGAAGTTCCTTCTACTCCACCCATTCCATCTGAGTCTGAAGAAATATCTGTGTCAGCAGCTCCCTCTACTCCACCCATTCAATCTGAGTCTGAAGAAACTAGTGTGTCAGCAGTTCCTTCTCCTACTCCACCCACTCAATCTGGCTCTGGAGAAACTACTGTGTTAGCAATTCCTTCTCTTCCACCCTCATCCTGGGTCTGAAGAAACTACTGTATCAGCCTTTCCTCCTTCATCTGGGTCTAACGTGACAAATTTTTCAGTAGTTTCTCTTATTCCTGTCTGTCAAAGCCATGAGTCTGCAGTAAAACATGAAAACAATGATGGTTCATTAGCTGTATTTGAAGGTGCAGTAAGGATGCCCTCTGCACTACGCTTCACATCTCCTTTCTCACCAACTAATAAGACCATCGTCGTAAGTACTCTTGTTGTTTCTATCACATTGTTTCCTTTCAAAATTAAGTTTTTAGTTCATTGCCACAACTTTTTCTGTTGTAGAAAAGGAAAAGTCTTTCTCTGACCAAAAACAAGAGAATGAAGATGTCTGCCAGCCAGCCTTGATTGATTTAGCCCTGTCTAGATTTCTGTTTCTTCATTTTAAAATAAATCATATGCCACAATAATGGAATTATTTGAACATTTATTATTTTTTATATAAGCCATGTCTCACATATTCAATTCTTAGAGTATAACAAATGATATCATAAATGATATAAGAATACTTTTAAAAAATTCAATATAAGTACCTACAGATAACACACATAAATAAAGATTAGATAAACAAAATTACATACTCCATAACTATTTAAAATCTTAGTAACCACATAAACATGACAAGAATATGACAAGTAATTAAGATTAATTCTAACTCAATAACAAACACATGGCAAATACTTATATCTCTATCACAAAATATGACAAGAATAAAATATATTTTGGGAGAACGACCAGATTTCCCAAATTACTATTTTGGGAGACGAACACTAGCACCAACACATGAATCTAGTGAATGACGTACTTTTGGCTTCTTGACAGGTGGGACAGACCATGATGGCTCTACTTGAGTATTGCGCTTGACTTTAGATGGTGGGGCATAGCCATGGTCACCTCTTGGGTTGACAGCTATTGTTTCTGCAACCACAGCCATGTTCGGTCTTCCCCCTGCTTGGGCATGTTTACCTCCCTGGTTACACTTTGACCGTCTGGGTGGAGCAGTTGGTTGCACATTAATATTAATCCGCCGACATGTTGGAGCATACAAGGCTTGGTCCTTCGAAAATGTTGCCAAGGCAGAAGCAAGGGTGGATTCAAAGTTACCTCTCTTGACAATGGTCCAATAATTCTTTACAAATTTCTGACATGGCTCTGACAAGTACAGGCTGTTTGTCAATCTGTCACACAAATCCTCTGCCACATTCCGAATTTCCTCCTTGACGCAATCAAGGTCAGGTGGCTGCTCATCCGATGATTCCAGTGGAATGTCAATCTGATCTTCATTTTCGTTTTCATTTGTTGGAGTGTTATTGTTGTAGTCTGGATTGATGTTCAGGTCAACACTTACGTTGTCACCCTTCAAAGTTTTCAAAAAGCCATCAGGTATGTTAGTGTGACCAGTCATGATAAAAAATAGGATCATTCGGAATGCCGGATCAGAGGTAGGCAGAAATTGCTGATTAGAAATCTTGAATTTCTTTGCTACCATCATTTGATGTTTGCATGGTGCTCCACACATACCAATAGGGCACGAGCAAATATTCAGTTGCGAATCCACAACATACTCAGTCTTCTTTTGTGTGTTTTCAACTCGAAACAAATTTTCAGAGGAAAATAGTCTCTCAGCCACAAGTGGTTTTAGCTTCTCAGCCTTAATTCGGTACTTGTATGACCGGCTGGCACGAATTCTATTGCTTACAACAAAAGCTAATTTCCTCTTGAAGTGCTTTTCAAGTTTAGTCAGTAGAAGGTCCAACAGCTGCACAGTATTGTATGCTCTTGCTCGTTGTAGAATTGTATCTTTGATGATACGCATGCAGGCTTCACAGAAGTTGTTTGTGTGATGTCCTCTTGTAAGGAGATCTACCCTATAACAAAGTGCCCATTCTTTTGCTTTCTTCTTATAATCGTCAAAGTGTTTCCAGACAATAGGGTATAGAAGCAGTCGCTGATCTTGCATTGCCTCTTCATATGCATTATTAAACTCTTCAACTGTTGGGGCATACACAATTTCCCGAAACAAGTAGTAAACATAGGCTTTGTCCTTGAACTCCACTCCGTTATGACTGTCCCAGATATACCTCCACATTGCCTGAAGAACATGGAACAGACAAAGTAGCAGTACTGCCATTGGCCAACAGTCACTTACACTGTTACGCTCACTAGTAGAGGCATCACTGATAATAATTTTGGGTCCTAAGGAGCCCCTTCCATAGAATGCGTTTTCAGGCAATACTTCTTTCCACAACTGCAATGCAGCCAAAACCACTGGTTCCTTTTCAGAGGAAGTTATAAGTAAGCCTAAGGGAAGTCCACATACTACACTAGGTGTGAGTATAACAAAAACTCTAGCATTGTTATTGTCCATACACCCACTGGAGTCAATGAACATGACTTCCCCCGATCCTTTGTAATGGGTATGGATCCGCTTCATCATAGGAGTGCATACAGCTATGTAATGGTCATTACCATCTGCACTTGAACCAAATTTAGCACAAACTTCCCCACATTCAGAATTGTAATTTTCTACATATTTTTCAAGAGCTGAAATCATTCCAGGTCCATACGGTTCACCACACTGTTCTTTCATTATTTTCTTGTATAACTTGTACACCCATGGTCTTTCTGGAACAAATGCACCATCACCTATCTTTATTAAGTCTTGATCTGACATTTCTAAATCTTCCAAGTTTCTCTCCATGGCATAAGCTGGTGTTATTCGGGAGCATGTATTCTTGAACATATCAGTGAACTTCTGCACTGTTCCTAGACAAGGTCTTCTGTGCCTTAGAACGTCACCAGCAGCAGCCTCAACAGGATGGTTATGAGTGCTTTTCAAAAGAATTTCCATTGGATGTGTTTTAAGGTAAATATCTTGGCTACTGTAAAATTAAAGACAAAGATTTTACAATTTGCAAATAGGCTTTATGATTGGTAAGTTATTTGTAGATACTTCATTCATGCAAAATATACATACCATTTCATTTCATTGTTTTTCAAAGTAATTAACATTGATGCAGGGCACTTAGTGTGTTTCTCATGAGGTGTTTTACTGTGACTTTTTTCAGCCAATGTATTATGGTGACATCTGAATGTTTTCTGAAAATATTGAACAGGAATTGAAAAAAATAAATACAAATGAAAGGAATATAAACTAGACTATATGTATGCAAGTATCCTAAATAAATATTTTAACAATGATTAAACTAAAATGGCACTGACCTTGAACTTGACCCTGTTTTCTGACTTTGGTTTTCTTGTATGCGCAACTCTATAATTAGTATTACTGGATAATTCAAATTGGTCTTTCCATTTCAGCACATCATCAACCTTTGAAACATTCACTCGAAATGTAGTGATCAGTTGCTCGCAATCATTCCCAGCCTCTGCTTCTATGTTGACAATTTTATAGCTGTAATCTTTTGGAAGCAATCGCTGCAAAATCAAGTAATATAATTATTCATTTCTGTGACATACAATGTAAGGTGACTAAAGTGACTGATTAATTGTGTCTCACCAAAACTTTATCGTTTAATTTTTCAATATCTGATGTTGACTGCTGGTGAGCATGGTTTCTCTGCTTCCTTGACTTAAGTTTCTTTGGTTTCATTTTATTTTCGAATACATCACTGAGTGCAGATGCGTCAGACTCACAAGTTGTCTCCCCTCCTGAGGTTGTTAAGTCAGTGGTATTTAAGTTAGGTACATCATTTCCATGTAGAATTTCTTTTACTTCTGGTGGAACATTCTTCAGATTTATGAATTTGTCTACAAATAACTCATTGTCTGAGTCAGAGGCCAAATCGATTTCTTCTTCAGAGCTGACGTTATCTTGTTCTTGAAATGTCGAAGCTGAGGCAACTGCTTAGAATACACAAAAATTTTGAAAAATTATTCACTGCTTATCAAGTCTAAGTATATGTATTATGCTTTAAATGTTTTTCATACCTGTTGACTTTAAAATACCAGCAATGTCTATAGCAGAAGCAGCTCTTTGCCTAGCTTTTAATAGATCAGGGTCTTGCTCACTCAGAGGAAGCAGCAAGCCATTAGTTTCGACCGTAAATGTATTGCTGTCCAAGTATACTTCATTAGATGATGCTGCAAAAAAGTAAAATGTTCTCAGACTTTAAAAATAAGTGCTCAAAACAGGACAAATAATATGATAACAGGAGATTAATTTACCTGGAAGTACTTCAACTACCTCCTGACATTGAACAGCAGGAGCAGCAGTAATTACAGCAGCAGAGTTAGTCACCACTTGAATATTAGGTAAAGACTTGAGAGGAAGAATGCTGCTATTGGCAAGCTGGAAATTAAAAAGCAAATGTTACAGGTGCTCGCTTATTTAAAAACACAAACGCAAAGCCAAATTAAAAAGAGGCTTCCAGGTGCAATAAAAAATGTTACTTACAGATATGGTTGAGCAGTTTATGTTATTCACCCTAGCCAAAGGAACAGTTGTATTTGCATTGTTACTGCTATTAAGAAGCTTGAATGGTAAATGGCGAGGATTTATAGACACAACTTGAGGTGGAGCAGATGACTGTATTGAATATGGCACATAGATTTTGTTGGGCTGGAATGCAAGTAAAGATTATCCAAACAACTAAATAATGTTCATACTTCAACAGGATAAAAGAAGTATGCTAATCGAAGTTAATAAAAATAACAGGAGACAGTTCACACTTACACAAGAGTTAGAGTAGCTTATATTGGCACTTATTTTACTAGGAGTAGTGTTTGAGTTGTTGATGTTTAGTGGCTTGAGGGGCACACGGTGACTAAGGTTTGATTTGGTCGAGTAATCATGTTGGAAAAGCGACTTGGACTGGAGAGAAAAGAAACATCTCAAATTACACTTTACAATAAAACTACTTCTATGCTTTTGGAGATCAAAAGTTAAGTGTTCAATTAAACAAAAACAGAAGAAGAAGACAAAAAACTTAAAAACATAACACTTACAGAGTTTGTGATGGTGGAAGAGCCAATGTTGGGGGGTTGGATACGCACAAGCCTTGGCTCGGTAGCTGGAAAAATGATACACTCCAGTTTTGATCTCGTGCTGAGAGAGAAAATTAGTAAGATCTAACCGTTTGAACATACTGACCGAAAAGCCTCTGAGTTTTTTGATCCATTGTTCATCGCTCGAGAATAAGAGGGGCTGATTCACGACATGAAGACGAGCGAAGTACGGACAGCAGAGAATCAAGTTGGAACACGCTCGAAGAACCGCCCAGCGATCGCGCGCGCTTTAGTAACTGGGTGTACTTCTCATACCGGTCCTGGTAGCCTCGCCGAGGTGCCATCT